CGATCCCGGAGGAGCCACAATCCCGACCCGAAACCGCAATCCCGGGAGAGCCAGAGCCCGAGCCAAAGCCAGAGAGAGCAAGAGAGGAAGAGCCCCTCATGGATCTCCTGCCCATGGGGGACAGGAGATGGAACAGCCCCTTGGCAGAGCCCAATGCCCATGGAGCTGATCCATGGCAATATTCCTCGCGCCCTTAAATCCAGCAAAACACAAAGTCCTTTGACTTTGAGAGACATTTGAAAACATCGGTGTGTTCTCAGTGTTCTTCTCCTAACCAATCCCAGCTGAACCCAAACCCCAGCGCTGTTCCAGCTGCTGAACAGAACCAGCTCTGGCCCAGCTACACACCAGGACAGCTGTTTTTATAGGTGTTTGCTAAATACCATTATCCAAACTATGTCTTAACAATATGCTAGATCAGTGTTAGGAAGGATTTTGGTGTTTCCCCTGATGGTTGAAGTGGGACTTCTCCCTTGAGGCACGGTTGGAGCCTGAGGGTTTCTCCCTCCCCAGCAGTGCCAGCAAAGAGGTTTCTTCTGCAGTCCTACCAGTGGGACCAGTTGTAACGAGGAGCTCTGCAACCAGGGTGAGCCTGGGCTTAATTTGGTAGAAAACAGGCAAGTTTTTAAATGCAAAAGGAGCGGATGCTGATGTCCCTGCAGGAGTGGTGACATGACCTGTCTGTGTGTCAGCAGGATCCCATCGTAGCACCCCTGCAGCTTCTCTCCCGTGGCGCAGAGGGAGAGGTGTGCACGTGCCTCTTCTGATGGGGTGGTGGGACCTGGGTGGTGAGACCTTTCCCCCCTGTGCTGGGCAGGGGTCCCTCGGGTACCTCTCCAGGGACTTGCAGGCATTTCCCCTCCCCACTGCCTCCCTCCAGTCTCTCCCCCAGTGTCCTCAGCCCCCCAGGTCTGCTCTTTCCAGCGCTTCTCCCCTCACTGCTGCTGGCCAGACCTCCCCATGCTCCCTCCCCAGCCACGCTGCAGGAGCAAGGAGGGTTTTTGAGTGTTGTTTCCCCCACAAAAAGTGGAAATCATAACTCCTGCCTCTCCTCACTGAGGAGGGGATGGGTGCAACGAGCGTTTGGGAGATGGTGTGATCCTCTGAGCACCCATGAAATCGCTGAGTGGGAGGTGAAAAAGACCCTCCCTCCTGCCCACTGCTAGGCTTCAACCCAGTTTGGTTTGTTTTCTTTTGTTTTATATCTTCTCTTTTTTTTTTTTTTCAATTTTTATTTTTTATTATTTTTTTTTTTTAATTTGGAGAGCACAAAATGTATTCCAAACAAACTCCTCTCTATGCAACCGCTTCCTGACGGGGCATGAAAAACTACCTGGCACAACAAGGGATACAAGGATCTGAAATACCTACTGGTCATGGCTGAAGCCCTTATTTCCCCGTGCTCCTAAGGGACGTGTCCATCTCCCAGAGGTGTTTCCCATTGGAGGTGCAGCACGAGAACATTTGCTGTGGGGACAAACGTTCCCGATGAGGCTCCAGCAGCACAAAGAAGGTTTTCTGGCTGCTGGTACATGATGGCCACCAGCCTGGCAGTGCCTTTGAGGTGGTTCCTCTGCTCTAAAGCTCCCCTGAAGCCAGCAGCAGCTCCTGGTGGTGGGTTGTGAAGCTGGGATGGGGAAGGCAGGGGCTGGAAGCACCGGA